TGTATGTATATATATATATATATATATATATATTTATTTATATTAATTAAATTTATATTAATTATTTATATTTATTAAAAACTATCTATAGCGTTATATAAATTTTATAGATAATTTTTTTATATTTTTTTTACCATGATAAAAAAATGATAAAACATTTTTAATTATTTAATATTTTCTTCAATAAATGAAATTTACCTTCCATGAAACTGAGAACTGATGCTAGTCGTTTTGGCGCTTCTATTCGTAGGTTCTTCGGCACCGCTAAGAGATTCAAAAGCATTTTTAAGAAATTTTTCGCGATGACTCTGTTTAGCTAATTGATCGAATCCTTCTGAACTAGCTTCTGACAACATGGACAGAGGATTTCGTTCAGCACTAGGTGTCGAAGCGCCACCCTCGGAATCCGAATCGTCTTGACTGCCCGAAGCAGTTAACTCGCTCGTTCGACCACTTTCTCCATTTCTTGGTTTCTTTTGCCTCCTTTGAGACCTATAAAAATAAAATATTTTAATAATCGTTTTTTCAAATCAAATCTAGATCTTATGAGAAATTTTCATATTAAATTATTTCAAAATTATTTCAATTATTTCAGAAAAATTATCTAAATTTGAAATAGCACAAATGTTTCATGAAATATTTTATATGAAAAGTAAACTAATGTATTTGCGAATAAATTTATTTGTTGCTTCATAAAATAAATTATTTATCTTTTTTTACTATTACTTATTATTTAATTTTGATGAAAATAACTAATTTTTTAATATACAATAAAAAATGTTTATATTATTATTTCTTATTATATATTTATTATATTATTATTATATTTAATATTTATTTTGAATGCTATTATATGAATATATTTTCAATTAAAAAATAAACATTATTTCTTCAAGTAATTAATTTTTCAATTTATTATTTTTCTAAATTTTTACTTGTTATCTTAATTTTTTTTAATTAATTAAATAAAAATAACAAATTATTTTATATACAATAATAATTATATTATTTAAAATAATTGTCTTTAAATTATTAATTAAAATAAATTTCTCTTAATTTTTGTCATACATAAATTTTAAAAGTAAATATCTTTAACCTTCGAAGCTCTTCTACGTCCATCGCATTTACAGTAAATTGGTTCGAAACTGTGTCTTCTGGTGCAGGATAATACATCAATCTATGATGAGACTTTTCTGAACCAGTTGTTCCATTTTCTCCTTCGGAATAATCTTCCACATCTCCATCATGCTCGGTACTTTCATGATCCTATACATAATGCATATATATATTTTATTTCTTTTTTTTTAATTCATTTTATTTATACGAGCTATTGTTATTTGATAATAGCATGAGTTTCAAATGTTTTGAGGTTTTAGATATGTAATTGTTATAACAGATTTAAGCAGCAAACATAATAAATGCGATTTAAAAGACATAAATACAGAAAAACATGTGTTTGTTTTCAGATAAATATATTTAAATGTCTTTTTGTTCGATTGCATTACTGTTTGACGATGCTTTGTTACAGGGTCTGAGGCGTTAATAAGATATACCTCAAATTTAAAGCTGCCAAGACTGCTATCGTCGGTATGATGACGACTCCTTGATTGTCGTGTCAATTCCGTGATATTGCTACCTCTAGTTACAGTCACGTTACCACCGATCACCTATGTCATCGGTTGAAACAAAATACAATCAACACAAAACAATCGCGAACAAATAATTGGACGCTAAGAGGAGAAAAAAAAAATAAATAAATAAATAAATAAAAATAAAAAGAAAAAAAATCAAATGTGAAAGCTGAATGAATGAAATAAATGACAAAAACAACTGTCGTCAACCTTTTTTTTCCGCAAGCTGTTTGCGATTTGCAAATACACACTAATAACATTTATTGGATAACAACAATAAAAGTTATTATAATTATTTTGTTATTGGGAATCAGTTAGTACCTGTTTCGTTTCATCTGCTAATTCTCTGTAACTATCTGGACAAGGTTGAAATATAGTTTCATCCTCTTCCTAGAATCAGTTATCGATTGTTAATATATCGCGTACTTGATTTTGAAAAAAAAAAACGAAAGTAATGATTTATTAATATATATTAATTTATTAGTAATTAACTCACTATGATTAAGATTGATATGAAATTAAATTGATTATTTAAAATAATTATATAAAAATCTATCTTAATGATTTTGATATTCTTGAAACATATTGTCAAGATCATCATTCTGAACAACTTTTTTCTATACATATAATGATTGTTCTTTCACAGATATACTCTAAATATTTTTGATATACACTTCTGAAATTTGAAATATATTTAAAGTATAGCTACATTTAAATTTTATTTAGATTAAGTTTTGATTAAATATGTATTATTTCTTTTAATCTATATCATAGCTTCAATTAGCAATTGAATAGATTTTACTGTAATTTGAGTTGATTTGAATTATTTGAATTAATCAAAAGATAAATCAAACTAGAATATCTTTTAAATAAATCTAATTTAAACTTAACTAACAATTACAAAATACACATAGATTAGACTTAGATGTCAGATAATTTTTAGTTTTGAATTAGTTTTAAATTTTTACTCAAGATAAAATAAATAAATTTAATAAAAAATAAATTTATTGAATTGTTATTTAACAGATCAATTTGAAAAAAATACACACATATCTAACTTAACTCAAATATAATTCAAATCTAATCCAAACCTATTTAAAGTTATCTTATATCTAACATAAACCTATTCTAATTTAAAATTTAATTAATTAATAGTTATATAGTTATAGTTATTATAATATGTATAATATGTATAATTATAAACCTATTTAAATTTATTTTACATCCAACATAAATTTATTTTAATTTAAAAATTAAGTGACAATTATATATATATATCTTAAAATGATGATTTTGACAATGTTTTAAGATCATCGAAATCATTATGATAATTTTTTTTAATCAATTATCAAAATTATTTATTAATATATATTAATGTATTAGGAAATAGAATCAATTGATATTAAAATTACGTCAAGAGAAAAATTAATAAATAATATTCCTTATTAAATTAATAGAAAATAATCCTACCCTTTTAATAATAATTGTTTCTCTACGGTAATCACTGCTACACTTGGTTTCAGTTCCACTATCGATCGAGCTATCTTTCGATCCTCCGCCTCCTCCACCACCATCTGAATCGATCGCACCACGAGGTGGAGGAAAAGGTATAACCTCATCGCTATCATAGACAGACTTGACAGTTATACCATCTCCTTGCTGGACTCTTTGCGCCCATCTGCCCTTCGGCAAATCCACGCCAAGAGATCTGACATTCGAGCCAAGGACGGTACTCTCATCCGCATTCGCAGTGTTTATTTGTTTTTTCGCCCAAAGAGGCAATTGGCCTACACTAAATCTATAATCAACGCCTACGTTTTGTGATGTTGGATTGGCATTTGGATCTAAGAATTCCGGTGGAGGTGATCCAAAGGTTTCGTTGTCCAGTTGTATGTCGATACCTGTGCCGTTTACTTGAGATGGCCTCCTTTAACAATAATTTTTATTATAAATGAATTGGAAATAATTTTTACATTAAATTATCATAAAACTCGAATTCAAAATTTTATGAAGTTTCGAAAACCAAAATGATTATTTTTTTTTCTTTTCTTTAAAGAAAAGTTTGTCAAAAATTATCTTAAGAGATTAGATATCTGAAATTCTTCAAAATTTTGATAGCGAACAAATGTATGTGAAAAAATTTAAAAAAAATACACTTAATTGTGATATGATTAGAATGTTATTAATTCGTGAAAATAAATGATCTAAGAATTGTTAATTTTTTTCACTAGTTTGTAGAAAATGGTAAAGAAAAATTCTTCCATATGAATAATTCATATTTCATAGAAAAAAAAATGTAAACATATTTTACGAAACATATGCATGGCTTAAAAATTGAAGGTTCAATCCGAGAGATAATTCCATAGTTAAATACAACAATTAACTTAATTATTGTATCATTTTTTTGTTTGTTGCCTATCGTTAACAAATGAGCTAATGTTAATAAATGACTTAATAAATATTAAATTATTTAAAATGGATTGTATTTAACAAATTTAACAAATAATCGATCTTAAAATCTAAATAAATTCTTACTTTCCAGCTCGCATTGCTTGTTGAGCAAGACGTGCCTGCATAGTCACAACCATATCGCGTGGAACACGCCAGACAAATATACAACCATCGCCGCTAGCGGATACGAGGTTGCGACAGTCGGGACTGAAACGTAGTCCTGTCACCAATTCCGAATGACCAAGCATGGTAGCCATGCATTCGCCGCTATAGTAATCGTATACACACAACGTTTTATCCGTACATGAGGTAGCTACGTAAATTCCTGATGCATCTGAAATGTTATATGTTATGTCAAATAAGTTATAAACGATTTCACATATACTTTAAATTATATTTAATAGAACTTCACTTAAAGTATATTAATTTATAAATGAAATTATTTTTAGAATTATTTGTTATTTGAAAAATTTTTTAAATGGAAATTATTCTTTTTTTGAAAAAAAAAGTTTGTGTAAATATGTAATATAAGAAGTTTTTAAGAAATTATTATTTTATAATATTAATATTTTATAATATGTTAGTCATTTCTCAAAAAATATTAAATTACTTATGAAAAAAAATTATTAGTTTTTAAGAAATATATCAATTTTGTAAATAATATATAAAAGATAAAAAAAGATTATCCTTATATATTAATGAAACTTTGAAATCAC